GTGTACCAGTGTTTTTTTTTTTTTTTTGCAAAAACGGGAGTGCGCATAACACCCCCCCCAAAAAAACTTAAAATTCACGATTTGGGGGGGGGAACATTTTTTAAGAGACCCCCCTAAATAATAATTATTCACCTCCTAAAATTTTTAATATATATATTTTTTTTAGCGGCCGACGTGTGCAAGAGGCACGCGCGCGCGTCGCTCGACCGCACCCTTACTCAGTCGCACGATCTCGGTCGTGGGCCTACAACCGAGGCCGCAGGATCCGCAGCCGAGGGGGACACATAGGAAGTACGCTTAGTAGAGGTAGTAGTTGTTGCATCAGAAGTAGAAACGACATGCGAAGTAAAATAATTAAATCCAGCAAAAATAGAAGGCACATGAGCAGGCAAAAAAGACTATATACATTTACTCATCAACTTTGCGCCTGCGCCATTTTTTGCAGAATTTCACTGCATTGAGAAAAGTCACTTGGGACTCGTGCGACTCATCCAAAAGGACTGGATGCTCGATCCCCATGGCATCTTTGACCATGAATTGTGAGTCCTTCCACGTGGTTCTTTCGCGTGGGGTCTGCAACCAGCCCAAGCAAATAACCGCGTCGAGGGCGCACTTATCAATGACATAAAATTTCAATTCATGCATGATTGTGCGGTCTGCGTCAAAGGTAGTGCGCACACCCTTAACTGCATGCATAGAGGTGACAACCTCTTGATTGCCCACTTGGGTCCGACAAGGATTTCGCAATGTCACTTGCTTCATTCCCAAGCGTGCCTTACGAATGTCGTCTGGTGAGAAGCAGTTGGAGGTTGCGCCACGATCAGCCAACACACGAATGTAATGTCCATTAATTGAAAGTTTGAAGAAGATCAACTTCGTTTTCCCTTACGCATGTTCTTGCTTCATGTGAACCCAGCGCGACAAGAGAGCATGAAAGTCAATTTCTTCCGACTCCACCCAAGACTCCTTGTAAAGGATGTGCAGTTTCTCAGCCTTGGAATCATCATCAGATGGGGTGTCAAGAGAGGTTTGTTGAGTAGAATCATAATCTGACGAAGGATCTGTAATTACATGTTCAATCTCTCCGTTTGTACAATGTGTTAATGGTGTCTCTACCCCCTTTGCTGGTTTCCCTGCTGCAATCTCAAGCAATGTTATATTGAGTGTCCCGGTTTGGTACAATGCAGGCAAACCTCTTTCTTCACCCTGTGTTTTCACTCACTTTCACTGATCCTTCCGGTTTGGGTGGAATCTTCGCTCCCTTGGGAAGGAGAATGGTGCTAGTATTGTTCTTCACTGTGTTCCTCGGTCCCTTACTTCTGAAGGCAGTCTTCTTGAAGGCATTCATTGATTCATCATCATCCACATAATCAGACTCATGGGCCGACGAAGAGTGTTTTTGACCGTAACCAAGAGAAGGATCCTCTGCAAAGGTCTCCTCGTCAACCTCAAGTAGATCGTGCGCTGCAAACTGGTTGCTGCCTGGAAACCGTTTGCGGCTGGTGGTCTTTTTGCCACTTGATCCACCTGGGAGGTCTTGTGCCAGACCCTCCAACTTGATTAAATCCCGCATGAGGGAAAACCAAACTGTATACGTTATGAGTCTGAGCCCCAGGCGATGTGTTACAGTAGAGGAAACCGTGCCTTTAATTACATCCAAGCAAGATTGCGCAGTCATCTTCAAATCAAGAGTAGCAAACAGTTTACTAACGTACTGCTGCAAACTATGCATGGAGCCAGTTCATTTGCTGTGCTAAAGCTTGTCAAGCTCGAGTCTAGCTTTGGTTGGAGCATGCGGATCAGAATATTGCTTGATCAAGAGCTCTTCGAGTGTGGCTACATGCGTAGCCTTCAGTCATTTGTTCAGGTTTATTCTTTTATAGCCTAACTGTCCAGCTTGGGACTTCTAAGAAGCCCCTTACGGCGGATTCAACATCGGTCCCTAGTGCCGACGACTAAGTAACCGGGAGTGTCCCCATCACATCAAAGTAGAATTGCATAGAGCTGATCCAGAATTCAATGTCATCCTTTCCGTCGTATTTAGACGGAATCTGTGCCGCCTTTGTATCCATGTAAGGGAAGCTGCAGCAAGGACCAGCGGTTGCTGGGTCCGAATTCGAGGCTGCAACAATTCCATAAATCCTTGCATTGTCACTCGCTACTGCAGCAGCAGCAACAACAATAGTGGGGTCTGGACGTGCTGCAGATSTGGATAGGTTGTTAACCACGCTCAAAGAAGAAGAAGAAGAGTATATAGTTAGAGAGGAAAGTACGGACTGACACGTAGTGCTAAAAGTAGGGTAAGCAGGCGGAASGACACCTTRGGCTGGCTGCATGTTAGCAAAATGTTGYCGGCTGGTCACGATGYWRCTGTGCTATCAGGGCTATATCMTCGCGCAACTTCTTGCAATGAGTTGATCAAACACCTTGGTGAGTTGGCCAGTATCTACTAAGGCCCTGAGGAGTGGAACAGTCTTCTCTTTCACCTCAGCATCCGTCAAGGCGGGCACGGTACTGAAAACGGCTTCATGAGCCTTTACTTTGTCTCCCCTCTCCTTCTCCTTCTCTTCCTCTTCCCTCTTAAATACTTTTTCATAAAAGAACTGGTACTGCGCTGTTTCAGCCTAGGGGGCAGCGTCCATTTGCAGCTTCCATTCTGCTGAAGATGCCATGATGGACGACGAGGTGTCAACAAGTCTCTCAAGAGAGGTCCGTACTTCCTCACACTTCTGGGACGAACACTTCTCTTCCCTCTCCTCACCCGTTAAGAGCAACACTCAGAAGTTTCTCTCTTCTCTTTTTCTCTCTCGTTTGCGATCGTTAAGCGCAGACATTTAACGAACCCAATGAAAGAAACAACTTCAAAGCAATTAGAAAAGAAGGTAGAACTCCTAGCCGGAGCGGCAACTCATTTGGACTAAATAGCAGTCAAAACAAAAAATAAAGATTAGAGAGCGCTGATTCCGCCACACAATCTAGTCCGACTACGTATTAGGTTCTCTCAAGCCTAGTCGGACTCAGCTCCGTGAAGACACAACAAATCAAATTCAAAGTGTACTACGTAATGCAAGAGAGAATTGAGTGGTGCCCACGATGCGAGTCAGGCGGCGGATCGTGCGGTAAGGTCCGTTAAAACGTCTCAGCTGAGATCCCCTCAGCAATGAGCGTCCTGATTTGAAAACATGAACT